CTCTCTTACATTATGACCCTACAGAAAAATGTCAACATTCCTCTAAGAAAATAAACTCTCATTTATTATGACCCTACAGAAAAATGTCAACATTCCTCTAAGAAACTCTTATATTATCACACTACAGAAAAATGTCAACATTCCTCTAAAAAAGGAAACTCTTATATTATCACACTACAGAAAAATGTCAACATTCCTCTAAAAAAGGAAACTCTTACATTATCACACTACAGAAAAATGTCAACATTCCTCTAAAAAAGGAAACTCTTACATTATCACACTACAGAAAAATGTCAACATTCCTCTAAGAAAAGAAACTATCTGCCCCAACTCATGTAAGAAATTAAATATTTAAGAAAGTTACGTAAGTGTGTATCATTTATGTTATTTACATACAGAGGTCAAAAACAATATGCTGCCTGCTATGTAACAGTATTGCCAGGTGTATGACTTCAGTTTTGATTCAACTGCCAATACTACCTGGTATGTAACACTATTGTCAGGTGTATGACTACAGTTTTTATCTAACTGCCATTACTGCCTGGTATGTAACCCTATTGCCAGATGTATTCCTACAGTTTTCATCTAACTGTCATTACTGCCTGGTATGTAACCCTATTGCCAGATGTATTCCTACAGTTTTTATCTAACTGCTATTATTGCCTGGTATGTAACCCTATTGCCAGGTGTATGACTACAGTTTTTATCTAACTGTCATTACTGCCTGGTATGTAACACTATTGTCAGGTGTATGACTACAGTTTTCATCTAACTGCCTTTCCTGCCTGGTATGTAACCCTATTGCCAAGTGTATGACGACAGTTTTCATCTAACTGTCATTACTGACTGGTATGTAACCCTATTGCCAGGTGTATGACTACAGTTTTCATCTAACTGCCATTACTGCCTGGTATGTAACACTATTGTCAGGGGTATGACTACAGTTTTCATCTAACTGTCATTACTGCCTGGTATGTAACACTATTGTCAGGTGTATGACTACAGTTTTTATCTAACTGCCTTTCCTGCCTGGTATGTAACACTATTGTCAGGTGTATACTGTCTGGTATGTAACACTATTTTCAGGTGTATGACTACAGTTTTCATCTAACTGCCTTTCCTCTCCTGGTATGTAACACTATTGTCAGGTGTATGCCTACAGTTTTCATCTAACTGCCATTACTGCCTGGTATGTAACACTATTGCCAGGTGTATGACTACAGTTTTCATCTAACTGCCATTACTGCCTGGTATGTAACCCTATTGCCAGGTGTATGACTACAGTTTTCATCTAACTGGCATTACTGCCTGGTATGTAACACTATTGCCAGGTGTATGACTACAGTTTTCATCTAACTGCCATTACTGCCTGGTATGTAACACTATTGCCAGGTGTATGACTACAGTTTTCATCTAACTGCCATTACTGCCTGGTATGTAACCCTATTGCCAGGTGTATGACTACAGTTTTCATCTAACTGCCATTACTGCCTGGTATGTAACCCTATTGTCAGGTGTATGACTACAGTTTTCATCTAACTGCCATTACTGCCTGATATGTAACCCTATTGCCAGGTGTATGCCTACAGTTTTCATCTAACTGCCATTACTGCCTGGTATGTAACCCTATAGCAAAGTGTATGACTACAGTTTTCATCTAACTGTCATTACTGCCTGGTATGTAACCCTATTGCCAGATGTATTCTTACAGTTTTCATCTAACTGCCATTACTGCCTGGTATGTAACCCTACTGCCAGGTGTATGACTACAGTTTTTATCTAACTGTCATTACTGCCTGGTATGTAACCCTACTGCCAGGTGTATGACTACAGTTTTTATCTAACTGTCATTACTGCCTGGTACGTAACACTTTTGCCAGGTGTATGACTACAGTTTTTATCTAACTGCTATTATTGCCTGGTATGGAACCCTATTGCCAGGTGTATGACTACAGTTTTCATCTAACTGCCATTACTGCCTGGTATGTAACCCTATTTCCAGGTGTATGACTACAGTTTTCATCTAACTGTCATTACTGCCTGGTATGTAACCCTATTGCCAGGGGTATGCCTACAGTTTTCATCCAACTGTCATTACTGCCTGGTATGTAACACTATTGTCAGGTGTATGCCTACAGTTTTCATCTAACTGTCATTACTGCCAGGTATGTAACACTATTGCCAGGTGTATGACTACAGTTTTTATCTAACTGCCATTACTGCCTGGTATGTAACACTATTGTCAGGTGTATGACTACAGTTTTCATCTAACTGCCTTTCCTGCCTGGTATGTAACACTATTGTCAGGTGTATGCCTACAGTTTTCATCTAACTGTCATTACTGCCTGGTATGTAACACTATTGTCAGGTGTATGACTACAGTTTTTATCTAACTGTCATTACTGCCTGGTATGGAACCCTATTGCCAGGTGTATGACTACAGTTTTCATCTAACTGTCATTACTGCCTGGTATGTAACCCTATTTCCAGGTGTATGACTACAGTTTTCATCTAACTGTCATTACTGCCTGGTATGTAACCCTATTGCCAGGGGTATGCCTACAGTTTTCATCCAACTGTCAATACTGCCTGGTATGTAACACTATTGCCAGGTGTATGACTACAGTTTTCATCTAACTGTCATTACTGCCTGGTATGTAACACTATTGCTAGGTGTATGACTACAGTTTTTATCTAACTGCCATTACTGCCTGGTATGTAACACTATTGCCAGGTGTATGACTACAGTTTTCATCTAACTGTCATTACTGCCAGGTATGTAACACTATTGCCAGGTGTATGACTACAGTTTTTATCTAACTGCCATTACTGCCTGGTATGTAACACTATTGTCAGGTGTATGACTACAGTTTTCATCTAACTGACATTACTGCCTGGTATGTAACACTATTGCCAGGTGTATGACTACAGTTTTTATCTAACTGTCATTACTGCCTGGTATGGAACCCTATTGCCAGGTGTATGACTACAGTTTTCATCTAACTGTCATTACTGCCTGGTATGTAACACTATTGCCAGGTGTATGACTACAGTTTTTATCTAACTGCCATTACTGCCTGGTATGTAACCCTATTGCCAGGTGTATGACTACAGTTTTCATCTAACTGTCATTACTGCCTGGCGTGTAACACTACTACCAGGTGTATGACTACAGTTTTCATCTTACTGCCATTACTACCTGGTATGTAACCCTATATCCAGGTGTATGACTACAGTTTTTTTATCTAACTGCTATTATTGCCTGGTATGTAACACTATTGCCAGGTGTATGACTACAGTTTTCATCTAACTGTCATTACTGCCTGGTATGTAACACTATTGAAAGGTGTATGACTACAGTTTTCATCTAACTGCCAGGAGGCAGGACGACTCTGAGCCTGAGGCCGCATGACTAGTGCTTTTTATGGACTGTGCAGGTTAGGATTATATAACTGCCCTAACAGAAAAAAACTGACAACCTCACCCAGGATTCAAGCCTGTCTCCCACATGAAAGTCAAGCATTTTTAACAGTGCAATTCATAGTTTGTGTCCTCAATGAATTTTATAACAGAGAAACTTCTGTTTAAAATTTTTATTATCCTGGGAGAAATTTCTAAACCTTTATTTTACTTCTGTTCCATCTTTCAGCCTGTCACCATAAGAAGCCTAAATCTAGTTACTTCCAGTTGTGACACAGTCCTATAAATGTTGATGTATTGCAATTCCTGCAGTGACCTGTTCTTGAAAAGCATAATTATACTGCCACTGGTTGAATCTGCATTTGCACTGTATTTAAAATGCTGGATATGAATATTTATATTGAAAATAGCATTTAGGGAGTTTTATTATGAACCAAAAAAGTATTTTCCCCCTCAAAAAACTAATGTGGTCAATATTTTCCGAAGCCTCAGTGATGGAGGTCAAAGGTCATGGAATGGGTCATCCAATAAATATTTGAAGACCCCTGGGAATGTATTCCATTGAATGCTTCCCTCTGTTTATATTTACTGATTACTGAGTGACCTTCAACCCCACTAGAACCGCACATGAGTGACCACCACACAAGTTCCAGAAACCCTGTTCAACCGTTAGGTTATAATAGGGTCCTTATAATAGGGTCCCCCTACTACCCTATTGTGTCCCATATTGGGAAAGTTCTAACTGATTACTGGGGGTCGCCGTGGCTGAGCGGCTAGACGCTCGCCGCGGATCGCTCCCTGGCGGATCCGGACTTTTTTCAAAAATGACCTTGGCTCCCAGGTCGACCCAGCCTTGAGTGGGTACCGGGTGCAGTCCCGGGAAGTAGAGGCGGCCGGCGTGTTGCTGACCATATCACCCATCTTGTGCCAATTGGTCTATAAAAATTTAGGTCTAGCCCTATATGCCCTATACTCCTAAAGGCGTGAAAGAGAATCCTTTACTTTTTTATTACTTTTTTTTTAAACTGATTACTCCCTTTATATATCTTTTTATATTTCAGGGGTTGGGGAATTTAACAAATGCTGATATATTTATATATGCACACACAGATATATTTAATGCATTCGTAAGCTGTGTAAAGAAGTTGGTTCTAAAATGATTTTTCCTGAAATTCCCAAGGGTTCATTACCCAATTTTTGTTTGTTCAGTGTTCCTGGGGCAGAAGGGTGATGTGTATTAATCAATCCATTTGTGTGACAATGTCTGCCATTTCTATTCACTACTAATTCTAAAGATAAATTCAGAATAACATAACATAGGATGTTTCTATCATCCTTTGAGACAGATGCTTAATTCTTTCAGTCTCAAGCTGTTCTTATTGCAACCCCTTCTAACCCAAGGAGTTGAGCTTAAAAGCAATAAATAGACCTGCAGAAGTTCAGCAGGGACAGACAAGCAGCTGGCTAATAATTCCAATATAAATGGATAATTTAGCACCAGCCTGGGATTAGAAACTAGAAAAACACATTATCACTGGAATGACTGAGAAACACATGGCAAGCTGACTGTTGCTAAAGAGTTAAACTTCTGTTTCTGCATCATTTATAATCTGTTCTAATCTGGTCAATTCTGTGACGATGTCCGCCATAACTGGTCTCTTCTTTCGTACATACTCCAAGCAACGACAGGATATAGAATACAGCCCATCCACTATGCTCTTACTCCATTCTCCTCCTTTAGGATCCAGTAGATCATAAAATGAACCAGGTTCTTCACCATCATCTCCTTCAGAGCAGTATTCTTGCACATGAAACTTGAGGTCTTTTTCTGCACGGTTTGGGTCAGTCACTGGTAGACCTACAATAACAATTATATTTGTCAGTTTACCAGGAATAAGTATTCTAAATTTTTTGAGACAGGCTAAGGCATGAGAACAACTTATCACAATCTTCAGAAAGAGGCAATCACCATTTCCTAGTCTTGTCTTGAGACAAATGATAACTAACAGGATTTACGCAAAGAGAGATGAAAGAAGAAAACACATTGTGTGCTGTGGAAAGGTATCTGCTCATAAAGCGATACAGTAAAACCTTTATTAACACGAACTTACTTAAAAAGACTACTCAGTTCTCATGACAAAATTTTGACCCAGCAGGTGAGCATGAATTTGTCTTCCAAACTGTTTTTTTTAACTAATTTATCAATAATATATATATATAAAACCAGCTACCCGCCCGCATTGGCAGTGATTCCCACACCTCCCTACAGCACAGTATAACACTATCAATAGATGAAATGTGCCAACTAGGTAAATACAAACATTCTGTAACAATTCCATTCCTGAACAAGTATTTCGGGAGGGAAACAGCTAATCCTAAAAGCATATATTTTACAGGATAAGATTATTTCCTTGTCTTCATGTTCACCAGCTGTAAACATCAACATCATCATGCGCCCTCCCAACTGGCATAGGCGCTCATGCGTCACTCTCTAGAGGGGTTGTGTGTTAGACCCAGTTGTTGATGTTTTTGGAGTGTTAAAACCTCTTGCATTGTGAAATATACAACACGCAATGTCAACAGCATTGTCGAACACCCCTGTGAAAGTCGTGTGGCTCGAGCCAAAGTCGTGTGGCTCGAGGTCGACCAATCAGAAGTTAGCTATGCTGAAGGTCGACCAATCAGAAGTGAGCTAGTGTATATATGGGCAGTCGGTGGGGAGACCAATGTATTCTAAGAATTTGTCTGCAAAATATAAGTTTCTAACCTGAAATTTCTTCTCACATTTAATTTATAGTCAGTTCTTGTCTTCCCTGTGTGCATTCTTGGGTTCTAAATTTAAGAGAAACAAATAATCGACCCACTGCTCCCTAAACAAGCATGTCCAACAGGCTACTAACTAGGGGTGTTACCTTCTAAGTAAATGACTTAACAGAGTATCAAAGAATAAGCCAGAATGTACTGCATGAGAATGGCAGGCTACAAGTCAAGAGGCTGACCAAGAAAAATATAGGTGGAGTGGGGGGGTTATGGAAACACTAAACAAATGCAATACGAAACTAACACAAACTACGCAATTAGCAAAAGACAGGAAACTACATGTGACTCATCCCTGTGAAGCTTTACAACATAAATAATTGGATAAAGGAAGAACATCCATAGGTTGAGAAGCTGTTGGCATAATGGTAAAACATTTTCCTGCCAACCCGAAGGTCTTAGGTTTGAATCTGCATAAACGTTTCAAAACTGACCTTGGCTCCCAAGTCGACCCAGCAAAAATGTACCAGGAAAAGTCATAGGAAGTAGAAGCAGGTGGCATGTTGACTACGTCGCTCATCGAGTGCCCACTGATCTGCAAACTATGAGTCTGGCATCACATGCCCGATATGCCACTGGCATAGAAAGGGTCTTTTACTAATTCACCAATCTGCAGGTCTGTTACAAAACGTCCCTCTCGTCATGGCACGTCTGAAAGTTTCTCTTTCTCTAGCAAATTCCCCAGCCCTATATACTTTCAAAGCTGAAGAATCTTAATGTCACATGTTTACTTTCACAAGGTCAGGCTCTGCCTGTGTTCCCAGAAACAGCACCCTCTATCACCGTTCTCCCTATGACATCATGATATGGCCAGAATACATCATCTTTCAGGATAGGATGCTGTTTATGAGTCCATTCTCCTTAATGTTCAAATCATTTTGGATGTGGGTGTTTTTCTTCCTCTTAGTCCACAGTATTATTTAAAAAACAAATTATCTGTAGTATTTTGGTTTACTTTTACTAATGATTTACTTGTAATCCATAGCCATAATAGACGCAGAGTTTAAAAAGTTATTTGTGTATCATTTACAGAACATTGCAGAACTAACCCTAGCATTTTTTGGCTGTTGTGGTTTTTCTAGGCAAATTTAGGTCCAGTACATTACCATTACTTTCTGGACGGTCGGCTTCTCGATACCACTGTCAAAACCATCGCAAGGCACAGGGCATGCAGCTGGGATCAAACCCGGCACCCGGGCATTATGAAGCCCGTTCACAACACTTAAACCACAGACGCCGACAATAGACCTAGACATAAATTAATTCCTGATATTCAACATGATATTGTACCTGTAAGTATTTCTAAAATGACAACTCCAAAACTGTAGGAGTCCAGACTTGGGTGAATGTGAAACGAAATAGCTTCTGGAGCAAGGTATGCTGCTGTACCAATTACCACAGAAGTCTTCATAATGTGTGAGGCCATTCCCTGAGGAAGAACTCTGGCCGTCGCAAAATCCCCAACCTGAAATCATGAAGTAATACATCAGCAATATATATATATTACCAATAACAAACTCTCCAGTTTCATGCAATGAAGTATAAAATTTAACATTATAATAATAATAATTATAATTAATAAACAAGGGAAAGTCAATAAGTAAGTCAGAAATGGAACTTCTGGAACATCCACCCTACAGTCCCGACTTAAACCCCTACAATTTACACTTTTTTGATCCACTAAAAACCCACCTTGGTGGGAAACATTTTGCAAATGATGCAAAAGTTGACTGTGAAGTGAAAACGTGGTTTAGAAAACAGAGCGTGCATATGCAGTTAAGTTTGGGAGGACTGATTAAACGATGGGACAAGTGAATCAATGTTCGTGGAAATTATGTTAATTAATATAACCCAACCCTATCCTTAGTTGCCTCTTAGGGTGTCTGGTGGGGTGCAGTGTTACTATTGATGGCAAAAATGTTCATTTATATTATTTAGTGTCTTGTCTTTTCTTCTGTTGAGTTAAGGTCTTTAGATTCCAATGCACATTGTGGCAGATTTTTGGTCATACTTCATCTTTGCTCTCAAATTAACGCAGCATAATATGGATTCTAGCCAAACTCCTGCAAAGTAAAGATGGCCAATGTGATGCTGACCTATGACCCTCCGACTGGTCTATCAAAATATTAGCCTACCATCATCCTGATCTGCCACTACACAAAAACAAGAATTAAACTTACTAAGTTGGGTTGATTCAAGAAGTTACATCACAGCTCTTAAGGCATTCCCATAAGTGCTCCATCCCAATCTTTAGCAGCCAGCGCAAAGTTCCTAACCCAATGGTGCCAGTAGCAGTAAGATTATATGCCCACCTTGCCTTTCCTCTGAGCGTCGAGTATATGCAAGAGCCCCTCATCACTCCTCGCTGCATCACTCTCAACAGACTGTGATGATCAGTTTGTTGTTCTGAATTGTACATGTCCTCTCACAAGGCCTTAACCACGTCTGCCTTATCATGCACCGATATTCCACCAAGTTGTGCAGAGCCAGCCTATCTGTCCACCTGTTCATTTCCCAACACACCAGCATACCACAGAGAAAAGATCAGACAATGCTCATCACCTGTGACCTCTAAAGCAAAGCATACCACTCTGCATAAAACATGCCTGTCTTCACCTTCCTAAGCATGCTTTCTGAATCAGTTACAATCACAGTGTGTGCATGTATCATGTTCTCTAGCCAGCAGAAAGCTGCAGTGCCCACCTCCACCTCCATTCTTAAGCTGGACGTTCTGGTAACATATGCTAGGCTCACCTGCATGAAACATTGACCATAATCTTTTGCTAAGAACCATCAGGAACTTCTTTTATCTCCTGACACTGAACCATCTAGATGACTTCCGTTTTCAAAATGGCGGACAGCAGCTGTGTTTATTTTCGCTGGCTGTCAATTCTCTCGGATTATTCTGTTTCATAATCATGGACTGCTATTTTATGCGCATTTTCAACGCAGGATATTATGTGTTTTTCATGGGAACAGCGTGTATTGTGGTTGTGCTGTCTCGGGGCGGGATAATGACCGATAGTTTTGGCAGCCTAGACCACGCTGTCTTCGCAATGTTTTGATCGCAGCGGTCCACTCGGGAAGACAGAATCTCGTCAGCAGGGGACTGCAACTGTCTAGAGAGCAAACAAGATAAAAGCTGTCCCCAGAAACGGAATGTGTCAACCATATATTTGGTGGGGAGGAATCGACACATACGGTTAACTCAATGGCCATGCGCAAATATTTATCCAATAGTTGGGACTCGCTCTCACATCTCAAACAGGTTTATCCTTAGCCACCAACAGCCCCGCGGCTTTCTGCATTGCTAGGGGAGGACAGTGTGTCACTTCTAACTGCGAGGAAACACTTCCACCACTCGTAGCAACACCCAGTAGAACTGACAACTAAGCTTTCCCAATCTGCTACTTCACTTACCTTTGGTTTAAAGTCAGAGTCCAACAGTATATTGGCACTTTTGATGTCCCTATGTACCAGACCCCCTTTGTGAAGAAATGCTATTCCATCAGCTGTACCTGTGGGACATACATTACCAGCATTCTAGTATGTGTGCAGAACACTGACATGTTTTATTTCTCATGCTTATATTAACAGAAATGATGGTCAAGTCCCTGAACTCTAGAGAAACCTACAAGAGTTCTGTCCCCTTTCGATAGATATTTCAGAGTGAAGCAGCATTTGAGTTGGTAACACATTTTCACAATCCTGACATGCCAGGGTTCAAAACTTGCTGTAGGCATTCTGATAGCAGACTAATCTGCAGTAATTTCAACAATGATGTGATTGTTTTACTGTTAAGAAAACAATAACAAACTACTGACCATTAGCTTTGCCTGGTAAAACCACACAACAGCCAGTAAATGCTGATACAACAGCCAGTAAATGCTGATACAACAGCCAGTAAATGCTGATACAACAGCCAGTAAATGCTGATACAACAGCCAGTAAATGCTGATACAACAGCCAGTAAATGCTGATACAACAGCCAGTAAATGCTGATACAACAGCCAGTAAATGCTGATACAACAGCCAGTAAATGCTGATACAACAGCCAGTAAATGCTGATACAACAGCCAGTAAATGCTGATACAACAGCCAGTAAATGCTGATACACAACAGCCAGTAAATGCTGATACAACAGCCAGTAAATGCTGATACAACAGCCAGTAAATGCTGATACAACAGCCAGTAAATGCTGGTGGTCTGTATTCTTGACATGGCCATATTACATCCATTTTTCTCTGAAACAGCCAGCAATGAGTCTCCATACTGATGGTACCCTTTGTCATCTGGTTAACTACTTGACTTGTCTGCCCCCTCCCCCCCCCCCCCCCCCTCCCCCCCCCCCCCCCCCCCCCCCCCCCCCCCCCCCCCCCCCCCCCCCCCCCCCCCCCCAAGTCTTGAGTGGAGCCCAGAGCCCACAGATATTCCTCTCTTCATCATTCTCAGGTTTTGAATATCTTCCAGTCTGACCGCATCTCACAGGTGAGAGATCATCTCTGCCTTGTGAAATTACATAAAAGACATGCAACTAAACAAAAATTAGAGGATGTTTTTCCATGACGAGGCATACTGGTTATGCTGACAACTTTATCTCGAACGATAGTATTATATTGTGGGTTAAAGTAACATTAATCTCCCCCATGCCCCACCCATATACACACTAGCTCACTTCTGATTTGTAGTTTTGTCACCTTGGCATAATGTTACAGGGGTGTTCCACAATGCTGTTGATATTGTGTGTTGTATATTTCAGTATGCCAGTGCTTTTAACGCTCCAAAAACATTGAGCAACTAGCCCCAACACACCCCCCTAGAGAGTGCTGCAACCTATGTCACAGGCATTCTCTTTCTCAGAATGAAAACGTAAATGCAAGACAACGCAGAAAGTACACACTAGAACGGGACACACCTGTAACCTTAAGGAAAGTCGACCAGCCCAACAAACTTGTGAATGACAAGTGCCCTACTTTTTGGGGGGAGATTTGCCTTAACCTAACCATATTGTGAGACAGGGAGGCAAGGGAATCACAGCCCACAGTGACTGCAAGTGTCACCAGCAAGACCAGCTCACATTAAGAACAATGGTCCACAATCACAGCATGTGATTTCAGGACCACCGTTACCGCTGCCTGAATTTAACATGCTTGTATTTAGATACTCAGCTTTTAAAGATGTCTGCAATCAGTTTCTCCTTTATCCTTTTTTCATTTCCTGCTTTCCCCCTTCGTGCAAGATGGTCCATGGCATTCTGTTTCCATGAGATTCTCAATACCTGTATCATTTATGTACCACTTGCACACATCATTTTATCAAAACAAAGGCTGACCGAAGATGGGAAATTGGATAAAGAAATTAACATTAGATGCAGTAAAGCAAACCAAGTATTGGGACAGCTGGCCCCCCTCTTACAGCATAAGACAATCCCAATCAGCACAGAGAGACATCTTATTCAAAGCATATTTATTCCAACTCTGTGCTACCAGTGCCAGACATGGTCACTCCCAACAAACCATAAAAGAAAATTAGTAACCACGGAAATGAGATGTCTGAGAAGGGCTGTAGGAGTGACCATAAGAGATAAGATCAGGAATGAGATCATAAGAGAACAAGTCGGCACATAACCAATTCTGGATTACATACAAAGACAGCAAGTAAAATGCTTTGCCCACTTAGAGAGAATGCCTTGTGACACCATACCATACAAAGCATACATGGAAAGAGAAGAAGGACGTAGAGCACGGGGTAGACCAAGAACAAGATGGAAGGATAACATCAGAGAAACTCTACAACAGCACGATGTGCCTATGGTTGAGGCGGTCAGAAGAGCTAGAAACAGAACCGTATAACTCCCTCGACACACACAGTGGTAAAAGAGAAAGTGAAGAAGAAGAAGAAGAAAGGCTGACCTATATATCTTCTACCCAATTATAATTCACCATAGAGGATGTTCTTGGGGATTCTACTACTCTCCATCCTCAAAGTGTGTCCTAGCCATATGAACCTCTAAAGTCTAAGCATTAACCAAACTGTGAAATGTGCTCTTTCCAATACTTTGTTAGCTATAAGATGCAATATATGTACAGACCAACTAGCACTTGATGGATGTTGTCAGTATCAGACCAGATGTTTTTACTTCTTGCAACATCCCCTGATAACAACTTTAGACAGCTTGTTGGGGATTCTAAGAACTGACTACAAGACTGGCAGGCAAGCAGGCGACCATGATTACCCTGTTTAAGAATATGCAAGGCTTGATCAGACTCGGATCAGGAGCATATCATGGACTGGCTGTTCAGGATGTACGGGTGTATGGGGTAATGAGCAAGCTAATTAACTGGCTGCTGCTGCTGCTGCTCTAGATGGTGAGCTACCTATAATAAAGAGGAAATGGTGAAGCCTCCCTGGGATCACATAGACACTGCAACATTGGAAAGATTGATTCAGCGGAGGGTGAGCAGAGGTTCTGGAAGATATATAACACTGAGGGGGAACAAAGGTGGACTTTTAAATGAGATTGCAAGCAATTCTAGCACACTGACTCTGTACTAGTTACTGTAAGTGTCTGTGGCTTAGGTATTGCGAACGTGATTCATAATGACGGGGTGCCAGGTGGATCCCAGCTGCAGACAGTTTGTCTTGTGTTGGTTTTGACAGTGGCACCGAGAGCTGACCACTCAGAGAGCAATGGCAAACTACTGAAAGTAACATTTTTTGTTCACCAACTGTAAACTCTGGTAGAAAGTCCTGGCTGTTCATCCATTAGGACTTTGGCTGCCAGGGCTTGAGTTTTGTGTGTACATCCATTTTCCTGGCTTTTTCATTTGCAGTTAGTTGTTCCTTGCCGCTCAGGCAGATGCACTCCGACTTTGAAGGAAGCTCCTAATTAGTCGACTTCTACTACATGCTTGTTGGGTAGGCAGTGGGTCTATTTTTGTTTTTCCAACAATGGGCCCCCAGAACCCACAGGAGAATGCTAAATCCAAATAAGATAGCAATATATTGAGTACATCATGATTAGAAGAAGACACCAAACAATAACTGTATTGAGAAACACCCAGATCGAGGAAATACAGACGCCTAAGAGAAACTAAAAGACAAATATTCTTTAGAGAGGACTGCATGATATCATGAAATCAAACAGACTACATGACAGAAGGTAAAGGTGAGAGGATTAACTTGACTGCATCAGGTTTTATCCCATTTGGCTCAGTCTCTCTCCACAAAACAGCTAGCTGCCTGCCGAGAGCGTCGCACAGAGCATGACCTCCTTAGCTCCAGCAATGAACCCCTGGGATTTCCATAAAAATTGCACTCGTGAACTCAACGGCACAGCTAGTGAAATGAACCCATGACCTTCACAGTGCACACAATAGGATGATGATGATGATGACAATGATGATGACGATGACGAATGATACATCAACAAATAAACAGTGGAAAAAGTATCCATACACAGCAATAATTGCTGAGAGAGAAACAGAGTGTTTATGGAAGTTTATTCACACATGCAAAGCCCATGACCTTCACAGTGCAAGGTAAATGGCTTCACCACTTTACCACGAAGACCAACATGAAAGATGGTAATGGAGGACTAGACTGTGAGCCTTATGTGACATATAATGGCACACTAGGATGATGATGATGATGATGACGAATGATACCTCAGCAAATAAACAGGGGAAAAATAGTATCTATACACCGTAATACTTTCTGCGAGAGTAAGAGAGTTTTTATGGAAGGTAATTCACACATGTAAAGACTGGACACCAGTGAATGTGCAAAAGAAATCAATACTGATTCAACGGACTTGACAGCGAGTACTAGCAACGCGCTGTGGAGCGCAAAGAGGACAGTGAGGTATATGAAACACCTTGGTCATCCACTGCAGCTGACTTCAGCTCCAGTCATCTAGACTTGTCCTGCCACTAGATCCAGATGGACACAGGTGAAACAGTCATGTCAATGATACAGCACAAGTCTTTCCACTTTCAACCAGTTCATCATGCAAGTCACACTTTCACACATTTCAAGACACATATAAGAGGCCCTTAATCTACATATACAGTTCCCTTCACTGATTGTCCTAGATCCCTTTCAGGCCTGTACTGGGCTTATGAGTCACCTCTGGACTCACAGAACTCAACTATAGTTTCATGATGCACGAAAGAAAGAGTGGTCCTCATTACTTGTGGTGGACAAACAACAAAACAATTCTGGAAAGTGTCTACAGTGAGTTACGCTTCATAATGTCGGAATGCCAGGTTCGATCCCAGCTGAGGGCTATGTGCCTTGCGTTGGTTTCGACAGTGGTATCAAGAAAGCCAAACCGTCCAGAGAAGCAATGGCAAACTACGGGATGAAAATTTGTCTAGAAAAACCACACAACGGCTAGGGGTTGGAGGTTGGTTCTGCAACGTCCTGTAAAGGATACGCAACTAACCTGTAGTGAGTTATACTGCACGATTCAATTTATTTTTAAATTAAGTAACTAATTTTTAAAGAATATCCCTGTGTGCCTTCTGGGGAGGGGGGGGGGGGGGGGGGGGGGGAATAGAGCCCAACAAGCATGTCATAGGAGGCAACTAATTAGGGTTTTGCTGAAATTGAATGTGTTGGGCTGAAAGATGCATATATTGCAGCCTAGCTGTAAACCACAAGACAACATGCAAATCATCCTTTTTAATGTAAAGCAAAAGAATAAAAAGCATAAGAAAATATAACATTGTGATTACCTTTAATAATCTCTAGCCGCAAGTTGTTAGACAACGGCTCTGTGTTATATCGGCATGCAAGTCTCTCCTCTAAAGATCCATTGGACATGTACTCATAGACCAGACATCGAGGTTCACCATCGTCAACACTGTATCCGAGCAGCTGTACCAGGTTTTCATGCTTAAACATGGTCAGAGTCTGAAGAAAGATCAAACATGACACTTTAAGTACTGTTTTATTCAAGGCTTTTTCTGCACACACAAAAATGTGCTGGTACTCACGACAGAGTGTCTAAAACAAATAGGTGTCAGTACTCACCACAGAGTATCTTATGAAAGGTGTTTATAGGCACTACAAAGTGTCTATTACAGTAGTGCATAACAAAATTAGCCTTAAAAAGGTACTATTAAATCTTTACAAAAAAGCCCTGGTTACATTTTAAGAAGAGTTACCAAGTTGTTAACTCTTTCAGAACCAGGGGGTTTATATCTCAGGTCCAAAGAGTAGTACAGAGAGATGTAAAATCAGTGCATCTTGCGTTTGTCCGGCATCTAGTTAAGAATCTATGAATATATGATTCATTCCTTGGAGCAGAGGTGGAAGCAGTAACTGCACCTCTTCGGTGGCTAGAGAACAAGATGCATACACATGTCGTAATTGTAGCAGAGTCTGAAAGCATGCTGAAAAAGGTGAAGACAGGGATTGCTTTAAGCAGAGTGGCAAGCTTCACTGGAAAGGTCACGAGCAGTGAGCATACTTTGGATCTTTTTTTCAGGCTATGCCAGCATGGTGGGTAATGAACAGGCAGACAGATTGGCTGGATCTGCACTACTGGGTGGTGAATTGATACACGACAAGGCAGATGTGGTCAAGGTCCCTTTGGGAACAAGCAACTGAATCAGTAGAGATTGGCCGGATCTGCATCACTGGGTGGTGAACTGATGCATGACAGGGCAGATGTTGTCAAGGCCTTTGGGAACAAGTAACAGAATAAGTAGAGAAACAAGATTATTACGGCCTGGAGAGAATGAGGCACTTGAGTGTAATTAGAGAGTCTGAACGGCTGACTACATTCAGAGGAAAGGCAAGATGGACATTTAACCAGATTATGACCGGCACCATCAGTATTGAAACTCTGCACTGGCTGCTGAAGACGAGGATGGAGCAGGCATGGGAATTCTTGACTCAACTCAATTCAACTCAACTCTTTGGAGCTGAACGAGTTAAGAGTGCTGAACTCTCATTCAAAAGACAAAGGGTGGACTGCGATGGACTGTTTTCTGTCAAGAGCAAAAATAAAATCCTGACCCGCACAATCCATGGTGACTGAAATAGCTCTGTAATCTAAAATCCTCAGGCTCCAAATCTTTCTGTCCCATTACCAAAACAAAAACTTAAAAGACTGTCAACTACTGCCTATCCTGACAGTTGTGCAATTAATTCTAAGTGCATGAATCAGTTGATCTGCTGTCTTTGTATGTAATTCAAAAATAGTTCTGTGCCAACTTGTTCTCTTATGACCTCATTCCTGATTTTATCCTGTCTGGTCACTCATGCAGCCCTTTTCAGACATCTCCTTCCCATAGTAACTAATTTTTATTTCATGGTCTGTTGTGAGTGTCCATGTCTGGCGCTGGTAGCAAGGGGTGAGAATGAATCTGCCTTACATGAGATGTTTCTTTGTGCTGATACGGATTGTCTGTTGCATAAGCCTTACATACTTTAAATTAATACATGTTGCTTTTCAGGTATGGTGAGTTTATGTCACAACAAAACGATGAATCAAAAAGTATTCAGAAGACATCTGTCCTTTAAGAAGATACCAATAAATAGAAGGCCATTAGTCCTACTATTAAAAAAAGTGCACCACTAAAGAGTTTGAATGGGGAGATTATGAATGACAAGAAGAAGCATCTAGATAGATGGGTGGAACATTATCTGGAGCTATACTCAGTTGATACTAAACTAAACATGGAGACGCTTCCAACTCTTGACTATCTGGACACATTTCCAACAGTTGTAGAAGTTAGCAATGCTATTGATGAATTGGCTTCAAGGAAAGCCCCAGGCAGAGATGGAATTCCTATTGAGATCATCAGGAGTGGGGGAAAAAAAAACCACACATCATCTGCTAATAACACTCTGCTGGCAAGAGGGACAGGTTCCGCAAGACTTTAAAGACTCAAGCATCACAACTATGTACAAGAAAGAGGGTGATCGGAGTGACTGCAACAACTACAGGAGAATATCACTGCTGTGCACTGTTGGAAAAATACTTGCGAGAAATGTTCTGTAAAGACTCCAGATCCTGGGAGACCGCATTTACCCAGAGTCCCAGTGTGGCTTTCATGGAAACCGATCTACCACTGATATATTTGTATTATGACAGTTGCAGGAAAAATGCCGCGAAAAAAAATCAACCACTGTATGTTGCTTTTATTGATCTTACCAAGGCATTTGATTTGGTTAGTCAAAAAAGTCTGTTCAACGCACTGAAGAAGATAGTGTGTCCACCTACTCTACTGAGCATTATTCAGTTGTTCCACACAGGTATGAAAGGTACAATCAACTTTGTGGGTGCAATATCGGAGGAGTTTGTAATCAAAAATGGAGTGAAGCAAGGGTGTGTACTTAATATACTTTTCACTTCTTTTGACACATGCCTTTCGAGATAAGGAGGGTGGTATATTTATTCTCGATCTGACGTCAGCCTTTTACAATGCTTGCAGGCTGAAGGCCAAAACCAGGATAAGAAATGTACTTATCAGAGAGCTGTTGTTTGCAGATGATGCTGCAATAACCACCCACTCAGAGGAGGAGCTGCAATGTTTACTATCTGCCCTTGCTGATGCATGCTGTGAATTTTGACTAACAGTCAGCAAAAAAAAGACAAAGGTTATGGTGCAAGGTGTTAATGATAGACCTACAGTCTACATTAACGGTGAAGAGCTAGAGACAGTAGACCTCTTTACCTATCTGGGTTCCTCAGTGAATATCAAACTATCGCTGGACCAAGAAATCAACATCAGGATATGTAAGGCAGCAAGAATAATGAGCAGACTGACAAAGAGAGTTTGGGAGAACAGAAAGCTTACAATTAAAACAAAAACCCTTGTCTATCAGGCTTGTAGTCGGCTCTGTGGCTAAGTCGATGTGAATGCTCCGTAATGCCGGGATGCCGGGTTCGATCCCAGCTGCTGGCCATTCGCCTTGCATTGGTTTCGACAGTGCTATCAAGAAAGCTGACCGTCCAGAAGCAATGGTAAAGTACTGGACGTAAATTGCCTAGAAAAAACCACACAACAGCCAGGGGTTGTTGGGATTGGTTCTGCAACATCCTGTAAAGGATACCCAACTAACCTAATCAGGCTTGTCTTCTCAGCACTCTTGGTCAACATATTTGCACCAGGAGAGACGGCTTAATAGCTTTCACATGTGATGTTTAAGAAGAATACTTGGCATTAAGTGGCAGGACAAGATCAAAAACATTGAGGTGCTGGAAAGAACAGGTACTACAGCAGTCTTTTCCATGCTCAGTCTATGGAGGCTCAGGTGGCTGGGTCACACCTGGAGAATGGAGGATGGCAGAGTCCCTAAGGACATCCTGTATGGTAAATTAAAGACAGGTAGAAGATGTCAAGGCTGACCTCTACTACGGCATAAAGATGTGTGCAAGCGGGACATGAATGATACAGGTATTGAGGTGGACTCATGGGAGCAAAATGCTATTGACCGTGTTGTGTGGAAAGGGCATATCAGGAAGGGAATGAGAGTGAAGGAAGAAAAGATTGCAGAAAGGATGAGAGCTGAGCGTCTGAAAAGAAACGGATTAAACATAAATGTTGAGAACAATGGTCCTGAAATCCCGTGCTATCATTGAGGAAGACTTTCTTTTACACGGGCAGGTCTTGCTAGTCATACTCGCCACTGGCACGGGCTGTGAGTCCCATGCCTTCTCATAGCGCAATATAACACTATCGTCTGAAAGACGGAAAGGTGCCAATCAATCAATAAACACAAAGTCGCACCACAGCCGAAGAGCTAAATAAAAGCATACCTGCAGTTCTGTTTTAAACTGCTCTAGACTGTCATCTGTCCCATCTTTTAAACATTTGATAGCAACTTCGTATCCATCAGAGAATGTACCAATGAACACTGTGCCAAAGCCACCCTCTCCAATGAGATTTCCTCCATCCTTATAATTTCGTTCATCAAAATTATCTGTGGAAATTTTTTTTTTCAGTATTAAAGATTTGTATGACAGTATTAATCTTCTTATAAAAATGGTACTGTTCATTACTGCTGTTCCATTTAATACAGAGGAAGTTAGATATCCTTTTACAGGACATTTGCAAACCAACCATTAACATTTGATCGCTGTTTGTGATTTTACTAGGCAATTTTCTATGCAGAGTAGTTTGGCATTTTTCTTTCTTTCTTAAAAGAAACATTTCTATTTCCCTGATTTATTGTCAAAAACTCTTTCAGGCCCGAGCAACGCTGTGTGTGTTGATTGAGAAGTTCTGATTTGACCAAACCTCACAGCCTGTGTCCACTGTGTGTCCTGTACATATTGATTTAAATGTGGTTCCATATTCGCTTTTAATTTTCAGAGCTACCATTTAAAATATTTAGGGACTATAAATTTTTACCAAGTTTACAAGTCTCTTTTCATACTTTTAGGTGCAATTTTATCTGATTCATTGCTAGCATCATTTTTGGAAAGTAAATTTTATGATTTTCCTCTTCAAATGACCACAGATACCAATGTTCCGAACACAAGCACATGCCACTCAATGTTCCGAACACAAGCACATGCCACTCAATGTTCCTTTCTGCGGCTGAAGCTCAGAAATGGTTTCAGTCAGGTGTTTTTAATTATGATTACGATACTGAAAACTTAAATTTTTTGGAAAGTGATTCGAATGGTGAATTTACACAATCGGCAGCTGAGCGGTCAGCTGTTAGAGAATCCAGCAGTTCTGATGAGCTAAACCCAGGAGGAAACTTTTAATTTGCGAAGGATGTGATAGTCACCCTCATTTGCATACAAAGGACTGTTTCAGACAACCATCCTATGGCTAAGCTGCATTGAAATCATTGCAGCTACAGTCTGTTTATAATTATACTAAGTAAATATTTTGTGTGTAATGGCCCTTTTTTCAAACATTTTTTCTTTCAAATTTTGTTTCACACTCTACGAAAACCCAGAGCCTCTGAGTGAAAAACTAACCCAGAAACGTATCAAAATTGTTGAATCTGTTAGGAAACTGAACAAAATTTAAAGTGTTATTCTCAATTTTGAATATTCACTGCTCTTGTGGCTGCAAAACCCTGATGAGTGAAGAATTGTTTGGTAAAATTGTGACTCTGTAAACATAACCCCTGCTGAATTCTGGCTTTTTTTTTTTGTACTAACTACAACATCATTCAATAAAAACATATCATCAAAATGTATGTTCATTCTTCTTTAAAAAAAAAAAAAGCATGCACGCACACACACACACATTTTTTTGCGGCAATAGAAACATTCTCATTGGTTTTTTTTTTTAAACACAACCCCTTCCGTCTTTTGTGTAAAGAAAAATTAATGTAAACCAAGTCTGTCTTCATGTTATCTTTGTTTAACCCTTATGGATTTTTAGACCTAGCTGTGATGTAACATCAAGCACATTGGATGTATCTGCTTGGATATTTTCTCCCCACAATTTGCTTGGTCTGCCTCACGTTTTCCTCACATTCAAATCTTTTTTGTATGCAAGTTTTGTCTCTCTGTTATCTGCCATTCTCTCTATATCCCCTAACTATTTCAGCTTATTAGTACTGACAATGCCTTTAACTATTAATTATTGAAACATGAATGCGGCTTCTCACTCTCCATTCTGAGCTGTTTGCATCTTTGATGGTCCAAGATTTGCTGCAAAACTCTGTTCTCAGAAGTTTGTAATAGTTTAAACTAATGCAAGCATTAAGATGTAATTACTTGTTATAACTTGTAGGACTTGAAATGTAAAACATGTCAGCTGATCTGTGGCTTCATACAGCTTTCCTGTGTCTTTTCGGGGCCACTGCTCAGGAGATGTAGGTACTTCCTGCCCATTTAATTTCTGTCCGGAGCTTAGTTCTTGATCATTTAACTTCTGTCCATAGCTTACTTCTCGTCCACTTAATTTCTGTCTGGAGCTCACTTCTTGTCCATTTAATTTCTGCCCAGCACTGAAAATGTAGAAAATCATAGGTAATTTAAACTAATAAAGCACAGAAAAAATAAAATGTTTAACTAGTAACCAAAATATCACACAACAACATGATGATCCATAAGTGATTTTTTTGGGGGGGTCTTCATTGTTTTGTGTCCTTTATCTCCCCTCCCCCATCTTCCCCCTTCCTCAATCCCCTACCACTGGAGCACAGGCACTCAAAAAACTCATTACCAGGCTTTCCTATCTTTTGCCATTGTCTCTAGGTCACTCCTTGTCTTTCTGGATTTTATTTTTTTTCAAAGGTGTAAAAAGTGTGTATGCTAGCCAAATTTAATATTCTACACCTCTCTTAACATCTTTTACAACTTTACTGGCAAGTTTCTGGAACCTCGCCTCGGGTGATCCTCATCCACATGGTGGCACTTTGTCATCAGGTGTTTATCGCTTGTGTGATGTCCCGGTGGGGTACAACAAGCGAGCAAGCTCTTTTACCGCCACTTAGCACAAAAGCGTCGTCCTCAAGTGGAATGCAATTTTTAGTCATTTTGAAGCCCCACCCTGGTTTTTGCAGGAGCCCTAAATATAGCCAGGCCTTAATCCCTTTTGCTGCTGCGCCCTCCGCCAGCCAATGAAACCACTGTGCTAAGCCAGGCGAGTGCTAATCTTTCCTCCTGTGCTGAATACCTTTTTTCCCTCCAAAAGCAGAAGACGCGCTTGCGGCGCGGGGTAAAAATTGTACCCCTAAAATAAAAAATCTTTAAAGGCGTATGGCTGACCTTTGCGCTGACAAGTCAGACGCGCTATGGCTACGCCATGAAAACTCATTAACAAAAAGAAAACACTACAAACTTACAAAGCAAACACAAAACACTTTAGTAAGCAAATACATGGTTTTTATTATTATTAATAATATCTTTTTGTGTGAAATATTTCAAAACAAGGTGCGACACACAATGCCAAATCACAGTCATTGCACATGTATCTGGTTTCCCGTCATTTTCTTGCGCATACCACATACTTTCTTGTTGGGAATTTCTTCTGTGATGTTACGGACTCTGTTATTGAAAGGAAATGCGTTTGTACTAAACGAAGTGGCAGATCTTAAGTTTTTTGTCCTCCTACACTTTTTCTCTTTTTCTTGCAATATTTCTGTATAATTTCTCATAATAACATGAAGTGAAATTCGGCAACAGGAGTGTTTTCCCCCACAAATGCACAGTACACCAACCACGCTTCACAAAGGAACAAGATAAAGTGTAACGCATCTAAATCCACCTGAACGCAAGTGACAGGATGTTTAATTAATTATTACTTCGGTGATCTGTTGCCTATAGTGTTGAGAGCTTAAATTTAAAATAAAAAAAAATAAAAAAAACGGCATGTAGGGGTTGAACCCAGGACCTTTCAATTGTAAGGCAGATGTGAAACCAACTACGCTAGAAATTCATATGAAAATGGAACTGAAAATATGACCAGTATTGTACACTTTGATAGACAGACACATTTATGTCAGTTTATAGTATATTAGAAACATTAACAATAATATTAATCATCATGTCAGTACGTGACCATATCTTCATTTTAATTATCGCCAGTCCATTTAAAATCCAGTTGATGCAGATAGCTGGGTCATATGGTCAGTCTAGCTCCCGGCCAGAAGTACACGTGTCCGCCGGCGTGCCGCGAAGATAACCCACAGCTCATTTAACTCACACGTTTCAAAGTGATCCTTACTATTACTCTTTGAAAGAAATTCTATTAATTCTTCATTAACTTTATTTACCCATTTTCTTGTTATTTTGTACTTAAAAAAACAGTAGACTAACTCAAAACCAGAAATATATTTCAGTGCAAAAAAATTACTGTTCACCGACCATGCTTCTATGGTAACAAAGCAACAGGATAAAGTAAAATGCATCTAAATACACCTAAACAAACGTGATATGTGTTTTCATTGTATGTAAATGTGTCAGTTTGATCAGATTTAGGTAATGTATATTGTTATTTCACTCCCGAGAATTACGGCTCTAAGCAATCTGTAAGAAAAGTCGAAGACGAGTTAGCTCGTCCTTAGCAGTCTACTGGGCAGACGAGTTATCTCGTCCATAGCAGCGAAAGGGTTAAATATGGACTAACGGCTGAATGGGGTTTCTGGGACCTTTCCACGGTGATCCTCATCCATATGGTGTCACCGGGTGTTTATCGCTTGTGTGATGTCTCGGTGGGGTAAAATGTACCTATCTACCTACCTCTTTAACTGCTTCTGGTGTTGAAGGAGATAAAAGGTCCTGCTTCGTGCTCTTCTGGCTGCTTCAACCACACATTGTGGTACTGTAGAGTTTCTCTGATCTTATCTTCCCATCTTGTTCTTGGTCTACCTCTTGCTCTATGTCCTTCTCCTCTTTTGATAAATGCCTTGTACGTTTTAGCATCAGAAGGCATTCTCTCCAAGTGAGCAAACCATTTGATTTGCTGTTTTTATGTAATTTAGAATTGATTCTGTGCTGACTGTATCTCAAATGACCTCATTCCTAATTGTATCTCTTCTGGTCTCCCCTACAGCCTTTCTCACTCATTTCCATGGTTGCTAATTTTCTTTTAAAGTTTTGTTGTGAGTGAGCACGTCTGGCACTGGTAGCATAGGGTGGGAATGAATACGCTTTGTATGAGATGATTCTCTGTGCTGATCGGGACTGCCTTATGCTGTGAGAGGCAATCCCAATCAGCATAAAGAATCATCTCATACAAAGCATATTCATTCCCACCCTATGCTACCAGTTCCAGTCGATAGTACAGATTTCAAATTATAAATTATAAATAATAAAAGCACATTTTATTTACAATTAACCTGTGGAAAAAATGACAGACGGTATAGACTATAACAAGCAGAAACATACAAAAGGGCTGTACCTATTACAGTTGTTGTCTCCTGATGGAGGACATGGCAGGGAGCATCTGACTGCCATTACTGTTTCCCTTTCAGGGTCTGTAATTAATGGATGAGTTTCTGAACTAATAACTGGACCTCTGCCATTCTCTGTCTGTCTGCTTCTCGGTTCTGTATGTAAGACTTTCTGCTGAACATACGCTGCAGCCGCTATCAGCTCTGCTTGATAAAGTGCCTGAAACAAATATGAAAGAAATGTTACAAAACTGCATTTCTTTCTTTCTTTCTTTCTTTCTTTCTTTCTTTCTTTCTTTAATTCTTTAATTCTTTCTTTCTTTCTTTCTTTCTTTCTTTCTTTCTTTCTTTCTTTCTTTAATTCTTTCTTTCTTTCTTTCTTTCTTTCTTTCTTTCTTTCTTTCTTTAATTCTTTCTTTCTTTCTTTCTTTCTATCTTTCTTTCTTTAATTCTTTCTTTCTTTCTTTCTTTAATTCTTTCTTTCTTTCTTTCTTTCTTTCTTTCTTTCTTTCTTTCTTTCTTTCTTTCTTCATTTCTCTCCTTATTTTCTTTTTGTGTCTGTTATTTTTTTCCTTTCTCCTAATTCTTTTCTTTTCTTAATGTTTTTTTCTTCTTTCTCTTACTTCCTTTCTTTCCCTCTGTTTTTCTTTACCACTCTTTATTTCTTTCCTTCTGTCTTTCTACTGTACCTGTCTTGTCCTTCAGGATCACAAGATGTATAAAAGGTGGTTTATAAGCCTTATTTGCATAGCCATAACACAAGTTTTTATGTTCCTTGTCTTGTCCGTTGAGCGTCTAGTCACATTCTATTTCTCTGCTACTTCACTGTATGCATGTACGCCTGTTGGTGTGTTTCCACTAAATGTCAGTGTTGTTTGTGGTAGGTTTATCTGCCTGTTGGTGTGTTTCCACTAAATGTCAGTGTTGTTTGTGGTAGGTTTATCTGCCTGTTGGTGTGTTTTCACTAAATGTCAGTGTTGTTTGTGGTAGGTTTATCTGCCTGTTGGTGTGTTTCCACTAAATGTCAGTGTTGTTTGTGTGGTAGGTTTATCTGCCTGTTGGTGTGTTTCCACTAAATGTCAGTGTTGTTTGTGGTAGGTTTATCTGCCTGTTGGTGTGTTTCCACTAAATGTCAGTGTTGTTTGTGGTAGGTTTATCTGCCTGTTGGTGTGTTTCCACTAAATGTCAGTGTTGTTTGTGGTAGGTTTATCTGCCTGTTGGTGTGTTTCCACTAAATGTCAGTGTTGTTTGTGGTAGGTTTATCTGCCTGTTGGTGTGTTTCCACTAAATGTCAGTGTTGTTTGTGGTAGGTTTATCTGCCTGTTGGTGTGTTTCCACTAAATGTCAGTGTTGTTTGTGGTAGGTTTATCTGCCTGTTGGTGTGTTTCCACTAAATGTCAGTGTTGTTTGTGGTAGGTTTATCTGCCTGTTGGTGTGTTTCCACTAAATGTCAGTGTTGTTTGTGGTAGGTTTATCTGCCTGTTGGTGTGTTTCCACTAAATGTCAGTGTTGTTTGTGGTAGGTTTATCTGCCTGTTGGTGTGTTTCCACTAAATGTCAGTGTTGTTTGTAGTAGGTTAATCTGGAGTAGTCTAGTTAAAGACAAAATCATCTGATTTGTCTTGGCTTCAGCTTGTGTCTTCCACTGGGACACAAGGGACCTTCAAGCAACTCACAACAATCTCTTAGTAGACTTCATGGGTGGCTGAATCTTCCAGCTGAATCTTCCACAGGATAAGAAGTCAAGCCAGTCTCACGTCAGTCCTCTATCTGTTGTTGGCATCTTTTCATCTTTCCAGTCAACAGTGTTGTGACGAAATGACCTCAGTGGTCTCAGAAGTTATATTGTGTTTAATAATTTCTTATGTTCAGAGAAGGACAAAGAATTATAAGCAATAGACACTGAGCCCAAAATATTTCTAAATCCACCACAAGGGATTTAAAAATTGTTTAAACTGCGTTTCCAATCTCTAGCCAGACAAAGCAACCTTGCTTTAGGTAATATTACCTTGGCTAGGAATTCCTTTCTCGTGTGAATGTCATAAATGTTATCTCCTGACCAGACTGTAGAGGCGAGGAAGGGGGAAATAACTTAGTATCACACCTGAGATTAGCTCCCCTAAACCCGACCGTAGTGTCATAAAAGTTACCTAACACAGACTGAGTGGGGCTCCTTTGAAGGCTAGATCAGAGGAATTAAGTGGTCTGGTAGACATTTTTAGACAGGATGGCGTCCAGCGTCTGAAGTTTCACACATGATAGTGAAATTCTCATGAGAACAGATGTTTGGCAATTAGGAATGTCTAATCTTGGTCAAGGTCATACTGTAGGCCGTTCACTCTGAGTGACAGGCCCATTGATAGCTAGGTTGATCTGCTAGGTACCTCAGAGGCGGGGCTTAGGTCATCTCCTGGAGGGTTGGGTAGAACCTAGTAGAGGGGGGAGTTTAACCTTTGAGACAGATAGATAGTATACTTCGAGCCTTTGGAATTCCCGTCATTAATCGCAGCCTGCAGGCAAACAAACACAGGTCGACCTAAAGGTAATTTTACGGTCGGATTCTGGTTTGGCGATTGATGGAAAGTTCCCAGGTATGAGTAAAATATTAATTTTAATCTTGTATACATAGGTTAGGGAGTTAAGCTTAGTCTATACTACCTTTTCCTAATTTGTCTACACATTCTGCTTGAAGTTGTTCTTTGTGAGTATTCAGTATCTCAAGTTAGGGAACTGCTAAACTATGCCTATTTCTTGTATGTTTGTGTCACATGTTTTTCAGTGTATGTTTTCATGTGTATAAAATAAGATGTGAACAATGACATTTGCTATAATGAAATGTAATTATATTGTTTCCATGATCAACCCAAAACATGTGCTGGGACTGTGGGAAATCATGCCCATATGCGCAGAGTTTTAATAGCTCACGATGTGCTCACTGGAAAGACAATATTCCAGACACCATGCGAATATAACCGGGTTGGAGTTTTCAGCACATAACCTGCTCCACGTGGTCATGTAATATCAATGTCAGCCAGTTGGAAGTCTGAGTGAAGACGGACAACAGACTTAGAAAGTCAACTATCATGACATAGCATGAGAGGGAAGGCAGGATATGTGACGTCCATGTAAGACAAAAGACCTTCAGACTAGACTGGAGAGAATGTGGAATATGAGGAGGAGTGATGGGATATATTTGATTATTATATGTTATATTAATTGATACATGTATTCTTAGTGTAAGTCAAGATACTACACGTATGTGTTTGTTTCCATGATTACAGCGCCCATCTGACGATCAGTCCATGAAGGAGACTACATTGTGTTAGACTCGGCCAGCTGGGAACGAGGTGGGGATGAAGTGGAGACTAAGCTGAAACAGGCAGAAAACAAGCAGGGAAGAAGCTAGAAGAGGAGGAAGAGCTTGACAGTGCTCACGGCTGTCAGAGGTTCTATGATAACTAAGTTATGTCATAAATTGTTCATATGTTATCACCTTCATCACACCATTCTAATCCCAGGTGCTGTTTTCTCGCTGAAGCATCTCATCCCTATCATAACATTAACCAGTCACTGTTTGTGTAAACACAACAAACTGGGAAATAATGATTGTTAGTAAATAAAGCTGTATGTCAAGTTTTATACTACATCGTTTGTTAAATTCCAAGTGTATTCAGTCTTACCTGTTTAACTAAACTGATAGATAGAATTACATTTGGTGGGGGCTCAAATAATATGATAATAATTCTTTAATTATTAATAATAATACCGGGAGAGGTACGAAGGAGGAATCATTTGCCCTGTCTAATAATTCATTCAGCATAATGATATAGACATCTAAAATTCCTTTCCTTCTCTTGTGGGTACCAAGTGCAGCTAATGTTAATGTACTTAACGAGCCAATATGGCTGTTTTCTTGGATATCCAGGACTTTGTCTGAAAGCAACATAGCCCGGATAATAGTTCAGTTAATTTGATGGAGGGGATGTGTTGAGAGGAAAATCCCTACTCAACATATAAATCATTTAAACCCAAATCCAGAGAACCCACGACCCGGGACGTCACACAAAAAGTGTTGTAATCTCAAGGGAAGTGGGCCGCAACGTCACAAGTGTTATACTATGCTATAAGACATGGGAGTCAGAGCCTAGTATTAAATATAGCCAGGGTTATAGTTCCTTCACAGCACACACAGAATATCTTTTTATAGTACAAAGCCTGGGCTGCCCTGTAGAGCCCATATACCCATACAGCATGATCCTTTCTTTGGTCTGCACTGTTTACTCTAAATGAAAGGTAACATCCATACCTATAGTGCAAAGGAAAGCAATAGGTAGAAGCTGTCAGACCAGAACAGCAGTGCTCTGTCTCTCCTTCCATGAATGGCTCCAGCTAACGGGCCACGCTGCTGACGTCACCGGATCAGGCTAACGATGCTTTAACGCAGTGGTTCTCAAACTAGATGCCGAGGCACCCCGGTGCCGTATGAGCACATGCCAGAGGTGTCGTGGTAATAATCAAGAAAAGTCGGCTAAAATTGTTAAATTACTAAAGAAGGCATGGAGATACGTAAAAGTTACAATTTAAGGTGTCATCCCTCGCAACTGTCGAAAAAGGGCCTGTTCTTCCTTGCTATGACACTAAATGTTCATATTTACATTTCCTACTTCTAAGACAGGCTAGTTTCCTCCCCCTACATGCTCCTCTGTCCAAAGCCAATCTTTTATAGTTGTTACTTATGATATACAATGTAAGTTACAGTATTTAAATTAAGTAGTAGTAGTAGTAGTAGTAGTAGTAGTAGTAGTAGTAGTAGTAGTAGTAGTAGTAGTAGTAGTAGTAGTAGTAGTAGTAGTAGTAGTAGTAGTAGTAGTAGTAGTAGTAGTAGCAATTTAAATAATAATGTCCTGTTCAATCACTTCTTTTTATAATTGGGAGAATACATAGTTTTATTTCTATTTCAGTAACAGATATTTAAACAAACCAACTGTTTGGTTATTTAATACCGCACAGCTCAGGTACTAATTCTATACAGTTCTAGGAGTATTCAGCTGAATATATTTTAAGTATTCTTTTATAACAACAGTAATTAAATTATGTAGTCTATCTTTGTGGATATTTAAAGTGATCTGGGATTATTTGAAATATGTGCTTCCTTTATGTGTGCCAGAAAAACATGTAGGTAACCATCTAGCTCAAAGACACAAAAATTCACATCTTCATAAACAAAATTATACAAGTGTGGCAAATGTAAGTACAGGAAGAGGATTTATCCACTAGAACTCGTTCAAAGTTATATAATTTTTTTTTTTAAATATTTATCAAGTTCTCCATATTCCTGGTGATCTATACAAGCATATTATTTTGTGATGGAATGTGATGAAGAGGAAGAATAGGAAGACAGAAGGAGGATAATAAAGGGGAGGAGGAGGAGAAAAGCAGAAGGAGGAGGTGAACAAGAAAAAAACAGGAAGAAGAAGAAAAACAAGATCAAGAAGAACAAGAATACGAAATAGAAGAACAAGAACATAAATATACGAATGCAAACGAGGAGGAAAAGAATGAGAAGAATTACAAAGAGATAACACAAAGACATCTATTTGAGGCTTTAGATGGCGTACTTCAACTAAATGTTTGATCCTGGCATTCTGAACACTCCAGTCTCTAATTAGAGTCATGGTACAACTCTTTTTGCTGTTTCCAAAACTAGCGATATTAGTCATGGTATACCTGTTGGATTACAAGCAAAAACCATGGTTACAATCAAAGGTCATGAGTGCAACCAAAGGTCACAGCTACAAGCAAAAATCATATGTAGTTACAAGGGTCACAGTTTATCACTTTCACCTTTTACAAATCTTAAAATATTAAATTTTTCAAAATTTCCTTTAAAAAACACATCCTTATAAGTAATTTCTTCTTCTTCTTCTTTTGTTTGCTTGAAATAGATTATCTATATCTGTAATGTTGTCTCTAGTATGAACTTCAGTGTCTTTTGTAATTCACTCAGCGATGTAACTAAAACTCTACCCTAAGAAACCCTAAGGAAATAAAGAAGAAGCAGAAAATTGTTGACTCTTGGTCAGTTTTTATAAGGTCCAAGCAGCGGAACTCCTAGACACTGAGCAGACAGGAGAACATGGAACCATCTTTTTCCTTGTGGCTGTCAAGTCATTAAAAATAATGATTTTTGATTTATTTATTTTTTCAATCATTATAATTCACAATTACATAATAAATGTGGTTGTACTGACTTATCTTGATCCAGCTAAGTCATGTTATTATTAAATTATTATGATGTCACAACTTACATCACAATTTTTTAAATTCAATTTCTTAAATTTCTTTTTTAACCCACTAAAGTCACCTTAACATCTCAAATTATTTTGGTACATATAGTCACACCCACTATGTCTACACAGTATGAAGTTGTAACCAGCACCAAAACTGTTACACGAGATCACAACAACAAGGTCTGAAAATCCATGAAGGAAAGACAAAGATAATGGTTTCTCTTAATGATAACCGACTCCAAGATGTGGAGACATTCACCTATTTGGGCAGTAATGTTGATAAAAATGGGAAAAACTTACAGAAATATTAAAGAACAAATATTAAAGGCCAGAGGAGCTTTAAAAGCACTAGGGAATGTGTGGAGGTCAAAAGAAATTAAAACTAATACTAAGCTTAAAATTTTTAATTCTCATGTTGGATCAGAAACATGGAGAACAACTAAGGCAATTACTAATAAACTACAAACATTTATTAACTGGTGTCTATGCAGAACAGAGGAAATTAAATGGTATGACAGAATCACTAATATAGAGGCTTTAGGAGAGAACTTATCAAGTTCCAGTGGAGCAAGTGGTGAAGATAAGACACTGGCGTTGAATAGGACACATACGCTGAGAAAACCTGAGGCCAATATAACAAGACTGTCTTTGTACTGGAACTCACAGGGGTTAAAGAAATAAATGAAGACCAAAACACACATGGAGAAGAGAGCTAGACAGTGAAGTTAAAAAGATAGGGAGGACATGTAGAGAGCTGCATGTTGTGGCGAGGGATAGAACGACCGGGCGTGAGTTAATTGAGGGCCTATGTCCATTGGGGGTTGAAAAAGAAGAAAAAAAGATGAAAAAGAATAAAAAGGTGAAGACAGATGCTGCCAGTAGATAAGGCATGTCCAAGATACCTCCAGGAGGAACATTAGCTAAACATGAGACTGTCCACAAAAGATTGCATGCTGCCCAAGGAAAAACAAATCAAAGAATGCTACAAATAATGATGAACTGTTTCAGTACCAGGTGTCTCACAAAACATTTAATGATTGTTCTATACATGAGTTAGAAACCTTCTTAGAATACCATGGATCAAGAAACATAAAAACACAAGAGAACATCAAAAAGAACTGGCTCATAAAAAGGCATCCCGACTCTTAAGCTGAGGTATTTTGATCAATTTAAATGGTAATGAAGTGAGTAAATGAGTGATGTTCACCCCATCAGGACCACACAATCAGCGATAAACATCCCGTGACACAAAATGCCACCATTCAGATGAGAATCAACCTAGGCACAAGTCTCAGAAACCCTGTTTAACCGTTAAGTTATATTAGGGCCCCAGACGATAGCCGTGACGGTATTTTAAATAATTTTCAGAAAAAAATGGCACAGCTCAACCTTCAAGAAGGTGGATGATACAATTGGTATGAAAGCATATAAGGCTGAAGAGTTAGCTAGATATAGAGAGACTTTAAGGCATGACATAATGAGAATGACATCCTATAAAGAACCTAGTGGTCTATTATGATTATAGATGGCTTTCATTGGCTACCAAGAGGTTTTGAAAGAGGCGGGAGCCCGAAGACAACTTATCACAGACATCAGAAGGAGACAGTCATCATTTTTCGGCCATGTTATGAGAAGAGGGAAAATAGAGCATGTTGTGACCACTGGAAAGATCTGTGGAAGGAGGGATAGAGGGCGACAACGAAAAAAGATGCTCGACAGTCTTGTTGCATGGCATGGAGGTGTGTCGGCACTTGAACTGATACATGCTGCAGGAGATGGCAGATTATGGACAGGCATGATCACCCACACCAGTCGGCAAGGCACCTGATGATGATGATGATGTATTGGCTAACCTCTTCTGTGCAGTTTTCTGTTACATTCCTTCTTTCTACAGTGTGGCAACTTTAACTTAATCTTGTCTACTTTTCTGCTTCTTTTTTTTTTAGGTTCAATGAGACTTGGAGACCAGACTGTCACCGGAGCAAAGGTGGATGTGCTACTCAGCTGAGATCCAGTGCAGCAGACAGGAGAAGGACAAATGGGAAAAATAAAAAATATAGCTGTATCTGCAGTGGTTAGTGTTGGAAAATGTGTGGATAAAGCAGAATAATGAATGTGCTGTGTTTAAAAATTTGGAGACAAAGTAGAGACAGTGAACTGCCTGGTAAAAATGGGTATTAAACCAGGACAAGCATGCAGACAACAGTTGCAGAGTGAAGATAGAAAAATGTCAATCATGCTGAGAATGTTGACTACATCATAGCACTTGGGAAACTCCTATAAGCACTCCAATTCTGATGGCACTAGTTACTGTCAGACTGTAAATCCATCTCGCCTTTCCCTTGACTGTTGAAAGTCAGCCAGATTCCCTGGCAACTCCTTGCAGCGCCATTCTCCTCAGACCATAATGATCTATTTGAACTTCTGCACATGTTCACTCCCTTCCAGAGGGCCCTCACAACATCTAGCTTGTAATACATCAGTTCACCATCAAGTGGTGCAGAACAGAACCGGCCAGTCTATCTACCTGCTCATTTCCCGGCACACCAGCCCAACCTGGAGAGAATATCCAAAGGTTGCTAACTACCCGGGACCTCTGAAGTGATGCTTGCCACTCTGCACAGAGCATACCTGTCTCCACATTTCTAACCATGCTCTGCGGGTCAGTTACAATCATGGCATGCGTGTACAGCTGATTCTCAAGCCAGCAGAATGCACCAGTGATTGCTTCCACCTCCATTCTCAAACTAGATGTTGTGATATCACATGCCAGACTTTGTTGCACTAACTGATGTCCATTCGCTTTTGCTATGACCCCTCATGCACTTTGTCTGCCCCTCAACACAGAGCCATCTGGGCAGGAGTTGTCATGAATCATTTGTTGAACTTCTGATTATGCAGCGCCAACTGGCCAGTGCCTGCACTCACGACCCAAAGTGATAAGAACCCTACACAAGTCTTGGACACTTTGACCTCACCTCGCACAAATTTATCAAGCCTGCACACAAGTCTGATTGTGTCTTCAGCTTGAGCCATCCAAGACCTTCCTCTTTTTATTATGTGACCATTAGCTCTACCCTGGGCATTGTGCAGGAGGTGCTTCTAATCATGCTGAGGAGCATGGAGACTCTGACATGGCTGCTCTCTCATGAGACTGAACACCAATGGGCCAGACTGATGTGCTAGAATGTTGATAAAGATAACAAGTAAAACGTAACTGTGTTACTGAAAAGAATTAATCGAGAATCCAAATTGTCACTAAAAGGAAGAACTATGGTTGATGACAAGGTAGTAACACTAAAATTACAGTGAAACCCACAAGTTAAAAATCATGAAAAATTGGGAAAAGGGTGATGAGGGATGTGGGCAAACCGGGAACTATTGTAATACATTCCTGCTGGGATGAAAGAAATTTCATATCAAATGAGTTCCCCTTGTGGGTTCCGGGGCCCTATTATAGGGAAAACAAGAATAGACCCACTGCCTACCCAAAAGCATGTCGTAAGAGCCAACTAATTGGGAGCTTCCTTCGAAGTCGGAATGCATCTGCCTGAGAGGCAAGGAACCAGCAGTCTGCATACAAATGAATCAGATCTGTAAAACGGATGCACAGGCAACACTCAGTTTCTGGAACAGGACTGCAGTCCAGAAGTGGACAAACAACCAGAACTTTCCACTGAAGTTTACAGCTGGTGAACGTGAAGAAGAAGAAGAAGATATCAAATGAGTGTTCTTCTTAGCTCTTTCAGCTCCAAGAAACACATCATGTGTTCCTAGCTTCCTACCTAGAAGCCCAGTGAATGCAAGAAGCACCTATTGTATGTCTCTCTTTACTATCCCTTAGGCCTGATGCTCAACCCTCTGGGACTGAAAGAGTTAACTCTTTGAGTCCCAGGGGGTTTAGCATCACAGGCCCAAGGGGTAGTCAAGAGAGACATAAAATCGGCGCATCATGCGTTCATTGGGCCTCTGGGTAGGAATCTATGAACGCATGATGCGTTCCTTGGGACTCAAAGAGTTAAGTAAGTTCAAACTAATGAGGCTTCATTAATATGTGTGCTGATATATTCACTACCAAAACAAAATGCTGTCGAAAATCTTCCTCTATATTTCTTTCCAGAAACTGTTCAAACTGTAACAATTTCAAGCATGGCTCTTCACACAATATGGCCAAAAATAAAATAATAATGTTTATCTATGTTACATTACCTGGGATCAAAGTTGGCCTCAGTTGCTGTAAAAAGCTGATCAGGTTTTGTTGGGATCCTGCTCGCTAGTCTCTCCCATAAACCATTGATATCAAGGGTTTCCGCAAGCACAGCAAGAGCACTGTAAGGCAAGTCCCTCAGATAAGTCTCCTCAGTGACCGGTTGCCTCTGCATGTTTCAGGAGTTTCTGTTGTATTTTCTATATTCCTTTCTAACGTACCAAAAATGTATTACGATAAATTATGCTTTTTAGTCGAGTCAAAAAAGAAATTGTTATAAAACATGTTTAAAAAAAATATTCGTAAATGAAAAGAGATTTGAGTAAAGTAAAAGTAAGTATAGGACAGAGGCAGTATTTTATAAAGTGAAAAACATTCTATGCAATATATCTTTGTCAACTTAGATGAGAAAAAGAATTCTTTAAAGCTGCTGAATGTTGAATCTTGTTGAATGTTGAATTAAGAATCAACATCACAGTCCATGGGACACTCCCATAAGTGCTCAGTCGCCCCATCTTAAAAACTGTTTAAATCATATACTGATGTATGGAAGTAAATCATGGACAGTTGGTAGATTAGTGAAAAATTTTATGGAAGCTGCAGAAATGTGGTTTTATAGACAGACAAAATGACTGACTGACTTTCTACCCCACCAGGACATCACACAAGCGATAAACACCCGATGACACAAAATGCCACCATGTGGATGAGGATCGCCGTGGAGAGGTCCCAGAAACCGTGTTCAGACAATTGGCCATATTGATGGCCTGCCTATATTGCAAAAGCCAGAGTGGGGCTTCAAATAACAAAAAATTACGTCCTAAGAAGGACGTATGGAATGGATGATTAAACAGACAAAATGAGTAATGAGGACATCTTGAAAGAAATTAACTCATGAAGAGAACTGACTGCCCACATCAGAAAGAGACCATCTACAAGGTCCGACAATTAAGTAATTGACTAATTCCATAAAAATTAAAATCATCAATAGCTGAAGATATAACCTGTATTTTATTCAAAGTAAGCCTCTTTTACATTGTTACAGCAAGTGGCATGATCTAACAAACACTGGAACGACCTCTATAATTCTTCTTTTGTTATGGCCCTTAAAGTCGATGTTACGGCCCTTTGGGTGTCATCAGTATAGTCGAAGAAGTGTCCTTCCAATAGTAACTTTATTTTGGGAATAGAAAATAATCACAGGGAGACAAATCTGGTGAGTAGGATTGATGGTTGAGAAAACACACTTGTTTTTTGGCCAAAAAATTATGGTACAACTACCGCCCGGTAAGCCGGTGAATTGTCATGAAGAAGAAAAAAACTGCCAGGTGTTGAATTTTCAGGTTGGACTCTGAGAATCCTTTTCAATAGAAGTTTCAAAATACTTAAAAAACTGTGGCTGTGACAGTCTGTCCCTCTGGAAAAAATTCTTTGTGAATAACTCCTTTGCTGTCTTAGAAGCACACCAACCATGTCTTCACTTTAGACTTTTGAGGACAGATTTTATTGACTTTTGATGATAATGATGACTACCACTGAGCACTTTTGCGTTTAGTTGTGGGATCATAGCGGAAAATCCACGTTTCATCCTCTGCAACAATCAAATTTAGGAAATATATATTTCTGTGACACGTTTTCATGTCTTTTGCGTACTCAAAACGCTGATTTTTTGGGGTCATCAGATAAGGAATGTTGTACAAACTGGCAAGCAATTTTTTTGTATTGCCTAAATCTTCCACTTACATTTTACGAATGGTCTTTCTATTACCACCAAATTCATCTGCCATTATCCTCAGTCAAACAACGATCTTCTTGTATCTATTCTCTGACTTTTGCAATGAGTTCCTCATTACGAACAGAAACCGGTCATCCAGACTGCATTAGTAATCATTTCTACACCACTTTTCAATCGTGAATACCACCTGAAAATCTGTGCACTAGATAAACAATTATCCCCATAAACTTGTCGCATCAATTCAACTGTCTCAATGGCGCTTTTTCTGATTTATAAACATAATTTAATGTTAGCTTTTTGCTCTTAGCTGACTTCGTAACAATGCGCATCTAACTAGGTCAATAAAATAGCGGCTTGTTTGTCGTCTAATTATCAGGTGGCGATGCAAAGTTGCCAGATCATAGATTAAGGTTGCCTCTTTGGATTGCATGCTTTGCTTCATATCTGACATTTATGTCTTGGCCAGAATAAAATCAGTCTCATTACTTAATTGTCGGACCTACATGCTTTGGTCATGTCCTGAGAAGGAGAAAACTGGAGTACATTGTGACAGTAGGAAATTTGGATGGGAAGAGAGGCAGTGGGGGACCAAGAAAAAAGATGCTGGACAGTCTGACATCCTGGCATGAAAGAGCATCTGTGTCAGAGTTGACTGGCACCTGAGACAACAGATCATGTCTTCCAAGACTGTCCCAAATACAACATATTAAGGCAAAACTTCTGGCCAAGAGAAACATCGGTGCAAGTTAAACTTTACGGATCGCTGAGCGAATTACAAAAGACAGTGAAGATCATGCTAGAGACAACATTGCAGATATAGATAATCTATTTCAATCAAACGAAAGAAGAAGAGCTGATTGAAAGTACATAAGTCAGAGAGTTGTGGATAGACCTGACTTCCAACGCCACACTGCATGGGCTTTGAGAAGAAGTATATGACTCTTCTTTCACCCCTTGTACATCAGACATGCTGTGACGTGCTAGACTTATATCTTTACAAACCTCTCAGCACTCGATGAGTGATGTTGTCAACATCATGCTGGCCGCCTTTACTTCACAGGACTGGTTCCCATCTTAGGCTGCATCAACCCTGGCAGACACCCTGCACTTTGGTAGACACTGCAACTTAGCCTGCATCAACCCTGGCAGACACCCTGCACTTTGGTAGACACTGCAACTTAGGCTGCATCAACCCTGGCAGACACCCTGCACTTTGGTAGACACTGCAACTTAGGCTGCATCAACCCTGGCAGACACCCTGCACTTTGATAGACACTGCAACTTAGGCTGCATCAACCCTGGCAGACACCCTGCACTTTGGTAGACACTGCAACTTAGGCTGCATCAACCCTGGCAGACACCCTGCACTTTGGTAGACACTGCAACTTAGGCTGCATCAACCCTGGCAGACACCCTGCACTTTGGTAGACACTGCAACTTAGGCTGCATCAACCCTGGCAGACACCCTGCACTTTGGTAGACACTGCAACTTAGGCTGCATCAACCCTGGCAGACACCCTGCACTTTGATAGACACTGCAACTTAGGCTGCATCAACCCTGGCAGACACCCTGCACTTTGGTAGACACTGCAACTTAGGCTGCATCAACCCTGGCAGACACCCTGCACTTTGGTAGACACTGCAACTTAGGCTGCATCAACCCTGGCAGACACCCTGCACTTTGGTAGACACTGCAACTTAGGCTGCATCAACCCTGGCAGACACCCTGCACTTTGGTAGACACTGCAACTTAGGCTGCATCAACCCTGGCAGACACCCTGCACTTTGGTAGACACTGCAACTTAGGCTGCATCAACCCTGGCAGACACCCTGCACTTTGATAGACACTGCAACTTAGGCTGCATCAACCCTGGCAGACACCCTGCACTTTGGTAGACACTGCAACTTAGGCTGCATCAACCCTGGCAGACACCCTGCACTTTGGTAGACACTGCAACTTAGGCTGCCAATATTTGTCTTTTTTTAAATATATTCTGGATTTTCGTTAAAATTTTTATTTGATATTCACCCGAAAAGTAAATATTTGTCCTTCCTTATTTCACAGTTTAACATCATGGCATGAAAGATCATCTGTATCAGAGTTGATTCTTCTTCTTCTTCTTCTTCTGCATTTGACATCAGTCATGCTAGACATTGAGTCCCATCTGGGTCACAAATAGGATTGTGCGTTTAAGGTCGCCACCGGTCCCCCATAGCTTCTCTTTCAATGTGGCTCCCTTGGGCCAGATCCAGTCTTTGCTGGGAGAGGTTAGGGCAGGACTGTAGTATGTGTCAGGGGTCTGTCTTTCTGCTTCACAATCACAGGCAGCAGATTCTTTAATGCCTATTCTGTACAGGTGTGCTCGAAGACCACAGTGTCCAGTCTGAAGTCTAAAAATTGTTGTTTGTTCGTTCCTGTTTGTTTATGCTGTCACTATCTGGTCTGTAATCTCCATTCTGCCTTCTCCACTCCCGCTTGAAAGACTGCTTTAGCGCTGTTTTGAAAGAGTTGATTGAAAGTACACGAGACAGAAGGCTGTGGATAGACATGACTACCAACGCAACATGGCATGAACTTTGAGAAAAGTTTCTGGTCTACCACATGCTCTACATCTTTCACCTCTTGTGGTGCATACCTTGTATGGTAGGGTGTCACACAGCATTCTCTTTCAAATAGGCAAACCCATTATTTTAGTGTCTTTGCATGTAATTTAGAATTGTTTCTATGCTGACTTTTTGTCTTACGACCTTTGATTCCACCTGATTTTACCTTTTCTAGTCACTCCTGCAGCACCATTTTTAACATCTGATTTCTATAGTTACTAATTTTCGTTTCTGGTTTGTTGTGGCTATGTCTGGCTCTTGTAGCATATGTATAAATTACACAAATATTAAAAGTTTACTTTTTACTAATATTATCTCAAAAATAGAAAAAAAAATGTTTTTGGACTCCTAAAGTTTTTGCAATGACTGACTCAAATAGCTGCCTCCTGGATGGCAATCCAACAGGGTAAATAACAAAAACCCAGATCAACCTCCTAAAATAAAACTACAATTACAGCCTGTAACTGCAACACTAAGACCTACCCTGCTGTACCCTGTTCACCAAGACCAGTAGGGGATAACCTGGCTAGGGAATTGTTTTTAAACCCCATATTTCAATTACAACCTGCAAGGGTCCAACAGGATACATAAATATATTATTTATATTCACTGCTTGTTGATATCTAGAAGGAATAAAGCAGACAGGAGCTTACCAGGGAATCTGGTGGGCACTCAGTTTTTTCAGAAGAATGACAATTCCTTATAACTCAGGGAATTCCCCCCCCCCCCCCCAATCCCTTTTTTCTTCCCCCCCCCCCCTTCCCCCTCTCAAACCCACGGGTTTTGATGTCTGATTCAGTAGAAACTGTATGCTGCTAACAGATGCCTGTATAGTC